GTGGAAAACGGAAAATACATCAATCATTTATTTTTATATCTACTACAAAAGTTTCAAATGTATTTACTCGACTATTTTCCAAATACTTCCTTTTATAGAGTAAAAGTTAGATGGTGTCCTAATGTAATATCTATTGCTTTCTACAAATCTTATTGATTACACTTATGAGTAAATTGCGATACGTTATGTAGGCGAAAATCAGTCAATAAATTTATCATATTAAAACGTTTTACATAATATGAGAATTCGTTTAACGTTTTAGATATGTTTTTTTTTTTATAACATTTTTATTAGTAAATCGTTTTTAATATGAATTCTTTATTTAATTTATTTTGTTTAATGATATTACAGAAAATATCTTATTGATATTTTAACGTTTATCGTTTTACAATTATAAACATTTTAGACAACAATTTAAACATTATAGTTATAACGTTTTCAAGCTGTGATTATAATTAATTCAACTTGGATTTTATTGATGAGATGTTGACAAAGGAAAACACGAGATAGTTAAAATGAAGAAATCAGTGACCATAAGTGAGGACATGATAAGAGTGGTAGAAAGGTATAAGTTTTCAGGATCAGTTGTGCAAAAGAACAGTGATATTGACGAGGATGTAAGACACGAGATTACGTGGTGTGTATGAAGTGGAGAGAAGCGTCTGGTGTATTATGTGATAAGAGAATTTCAATGAGACTGATAGGTAAGTTCTATAGATTGTGGTGAGTCCAACTATGATGTATGGTTCAGAGTGTTGGGTATTTCACAAGACAATAGAGCAGAGATGAGATTACTCAGATAGATAAGTGGAGTGACTAGAGAAGATACAATAAGGAACGAACATATAAGAGGGATTATAGGTGTATCATCAATCGTAGATAAAACAAGAGAAAATATATTTAGATTGTTGTCATGTTATGAGAAGAGAGGACTTGGAAGCTGTAAGAAAATTCATGAAAATGAATGTTGAGGGAAGAATAAGCAGTGGAAAACAAGTAGTGATATGAGGACGGCTGATGTGAGCGTAGGTGATGTAAGAGATCATGTCAAGTGGAAGCTTAGGATAAGGTTGGCCGACCCCTATTAGTTGGAATAAAGGCGAGAAAAAAGTAGAAGAAGATTTTATTAATGAAAAATTTTACTGACTAAGTTTAGCGAATTGATTTAGTATTGTTTGTTTTTATTAAATACAATTTCGATCAACACAAAGTTGGTCAAAAACTAATAAAAATGTTTAAGAAAGGTGTCAAAGAAAACTTTTATTTCTTTCAAACAGTTTTCTTGTTTATTATTGTAGGTGATTCATAGTCATCTGGGATCAAATTAATAAGAAATACTTAAGCCTTCCATTGTTTCTAAAGTATTATTAAGAAAAATACGTATATTGCATTTTAAGTAGTTGTATAGACTTATTAATTTTAATTAAAGTCTGTAACTTGCAACTAAATTTATGAGTCTAACTTGAGTATACTTGGGTTAGACTAGTTAAAATTGTTTATAAGTAATTTAAAAACCCTATATTTAAAACTGATATCATATATGATATCAATTTTGTGAGATCTATGTTTAGATATTAATTATAAACCGAGTCCACACAAATTTATATAATAGTGTTTTTAAAGTATCATATTTTTAAATTTCACTTACTTAAACTTATTTAAAGTTTACTTACATTCGAACGTGTGTATATTTATGTTCTACCGAAGTTATTTACAGGGTCAAATATCAATGAGTATTTATAGGGTTTGTAAGTTTGGTATTACCCATTTCAACGGAATACAATTCCAATTAGTGAAACACAATGTTTTATTGTTATAGCGCGTCTCTAGACTCTGCAGTGTTGCAGTATATTTAGTAGACTCGAGAAACGCAGATGTTTCCCTTAGCGATTATGGTTGTTTGTGGCTATTTCTATAATGTGTTTCATGGGCACTATTCTCCACGACAACTAATTAATTATGTAACGTGTTTTTGAGGCAGAAAAAATCGATTTTTATAATTACATTATATGCGAACCCTAACTATCTTTTGAGGTCATTCTGAATATGACAAGGTAGTAAAATCTCAGAATATCGTAATCAAAGTAAGTAAAACATAAGCATTGGGCGTACTACATTGCTTAATAAGATATAACGTTAACCAACTCTATACTACAAAGCCCCTCAGGGATGTAACCATCACGTACGGATGTTATTGTTAAAATGTATAAAGTTTTTAAATAACTTCATAATATTTTTACATCTCTAAAGATATTAACTCCAAAGAAGACGCAATTCGATGATGCAGAATTTTATTCATGATCAAACGCATTATTCAAAGAAAGCCTTTTGTTTAAATTTACTAATTAAATGGCACGTTATTTGCATACTTGCTATGATAATAATCGCTACCAAAACCAAAAATTATTTTGATATTCATGAAGATAATTGAAACGGCGTGAAAAATAGACAAAAAAACAGCATGGACGCTGTAGTGCATAAAATTATGTAGATAATGAATGTTGAAAAACTTGAAAATGTCAAAGTGAAAGAAACTACACTATAGCAATAAATTACAATGACTAATGATTATAATGAATAACCCATGAGAATTAACTAATTGATGAAACACTTTTTTTAACAACTTAATAAGTTTACAAAATGATTACAAACAAAACAAGAATAAGAATATATGATTATGCAATATTTTTAAAAACATTCTATCATATATATAATTTATTTAAAATTTTAAACATTCAATTACGAACGATTTATTTTTGTATTAACAGTTTTCAAGTGTTGATAAATAATTTATAAAAGAATTTCATGAAGTAATTAAGAATTGAGGACATTATATGTCTTCAATACTTATTTCCTTCTTAATATACAAGCTAAAAATATGTTATTACACTCATTTTCTGATAAACTATTGAGAATTTTTAATTTTAGTAAAGAGAAAACATATTAGGTTCAAAAAACTACAATGATATTTAGTTAAATCTTTTTTTTAGTCTCTTTATGGATAAAAGTCCTTATTTATAATTTTATTAAATAGAAAATTCTAATTTTAGCCTTATAATATGATAGAAAGAAAATTACAAACAACTTTGTTTTTACAATTTTTTTTATCTGGACATCGACCGTTTGTGTTTTACACATTATTTAAATATTTGAATTTAAAATAAAATCTCATAATTGTTTTGTTTTTTAATTCCGGTAGCAGTGCAATAATCTGTGCTGATATCCCATAAATCATTTATCATTGAAGTTATAGAAAAAAAATTCAGTTTAGTTATCTTAACTGGATATAACAATAATATATTGTTGCTATCGAAATAGATTATTGTTGTCACCGGTATTATGAAACCAAATCAATGATGTATTTTTACTTAATATCCAAATCTTTCAATAATGTGTAAAACGCAAACGAGAGATCGGATGAAAAAAATTGTAAGAACAAAGTTGTTTGTATTTTTTTTTTTGTATCGTATTATAAAAATAAAATTAAAGTTTCCTATCTAAGAAAATTTTAAATAAGAATTTTTATTCCTGAAGGGACTAAAAAAAAAGATTTAACTCTACATATTATTGTAGTTCTTTGAACCTAATATGTTTTCTCTTCACTAAAATTAAAAATTCTCAATAGTTTATCAGGAAATGATTGACATAACAGATTTTGATCACCTTATATATTGCATTTAATATAAACTGTAAGCACAGTATTTCTATCTAAATAATTAAATAAGTACATCCTCGACGAACACCTGTTAATTTAATTGAATTTCAAATCAAATTTCGTTCAGTATAGATCAGTCGATTCGAGTACTAATTTAATTTCTGCGAGTGAAATTAAAAATTTCTATCTTACAATTCAATTGAATCGTGTGATATTTTAATCAAGGTAAATTGTATGTAGTTAATTTTATTCGAATTAAGCAGTTTAATTATTTCTATATATCATGCACTAAAATAACTTTGGATTGCGTACTAAAAGGAACAAAGCGTAGAAGGTGTGACAAAAGCGAATTAAATTATTAATTAAATTTGTTCAGCACTGGAATACCTTACTTTTTTTCAATTTTTGTTCTCTTCAAAATTCAGGGCTCAGTAACATATTTACGAAAGGGATCCAAATCACAAGTTGTCAAGGATTTGAGCCACCTTCCTTTTACCAATTGTGCATTAAAAATGTATTTTTAATCATTTAATGAATCAAATGAATTCGATACAAAATATAAACTAACAACCCCAATATTAATAAACATAATGCGTGATGTAGACGATGTAAATAGTTATCGCCTTACATCCGTTTTATGATTGTCAGATAATAGTCTGAAATTGACGCTTGCCACTCCTAAAGGGTTTTGACTATTTATAAATTAACTGTAGCTATTTTTTTTAAGTTATTTTGAGTTTTGAATCGTTTTATAAATACGTCGTAATTTATGTAGTTTATGAGTCGTAGAAGTCTGGATATTATATTAATATTAGTTGATTTATCATGGTGTTAAAATTGTCAAATTTTAACGGCCCCTTGTAAATATTTGGTAATTAAAAAGTTAAAGGGGCGCATCGAGATTTTCTCAGTAGCTCACCTAGCCTATCTAGACATAGATTTATTTAAACATATTTTATAGAAACGGCACACTATAAAAATTATAAGAATACTTAGGTCGTTGATATTATTTTGTAATATTTAAAAAAAAATTATTATTTGATATATACTTTACTCAGAAGTAAAAAAATATTCGTCTAAAATTTGATTTTTAATTATTACTAATTTCTCTTTAATAACTGCCTGATTTTCTAAAAACAGGTGTTCGAAATTCTTAATCAACAAAATCGGTCGATATATTCCTTAGAGCTGTAGACTACATAATTTATCACCTCTGGTAATTTTGTCATGTCCCTTGCCCGTTTTGTTATAAAGTACAACATTTTATAAAGTAGTCCTCGTTTTACCTTATACTTGGAAACCTCTTGAATTTTGTTTTATTTAAACGCTTAAAAACCAAACTCACCTTTAACTCGTCAGCCTCAATGTATCCACTACCATCTGTATCATATTCTCTCCAAATCTGAAATTATTCATTTAAGTTTATTCTTAAAATTTATTCCGTCGGTTATAATATAATACAAATTCACGATATTCAAATGAGCCCGAGTTTAAAATAAATTTCAATTGATACAATATGTGCACATTTATATTCATATGCAGAATTGTTATGCTACACATACCTTCATGAATTCGACGCTGGAGTCAAGTGGATTATCAAATCGGAACAGTAGAAGAAAGTTTTCTTCCATTGGCAAAAGTTGAGCAAGCTGCAAAATTCAATGACTATTAATCTCATGGTTTGTAAAGAAACGCTTAAAAAGTTCACGCTTCTATCTATAAGAAGCGGCCACATATATCTTAATAGTTCATTACTTCACGAATGTCAATTTTCCCATCTTGGTTATCGTCGTAGGCTTCCATAAAACACTGCTTCAGTTCTATTAGCATTGCATCCGATACCGCCTGTAAATTAAATTCCTTATGTCATAATGATAAATTGATAATTAGATAACATGCCGTTAATTTACAGAATTTTGTCAGGCATTCGTGTTTGAAATTTCAATTGGGATCGTTAAGTGGATAAGGTTACGAGAAAACAAAGGATGTACAAGTACGGGTCTTGAAGACTGATTGGACAAATAATATTTGCTCAACTAGAAAGATCATTGATCTGAAATTAATTTAATTTATATTCTCATACTGACACTCAAACGCAATTTTCTAATTTGAAGAATCAAATATAAAGGTAGAATAATTTATTTACTCACAAAATAAAATTCTTTATGCCATTAAGTATTTAATTTATATGATTGATAGATTATGTGTATTTATTTAACAGCTAATCCTTTTTACAACACGACAACGCTTTGTTGAATGTTCAATGTCTAATTCCGTCAAGTTGATTGAATAATTAAAATATTAATAGATTTTACAACTGTCCCTATCTCAATTGAAAAGTGCAACTAGTAGAAAATATTGATGATGAAATATTAGTGTGTGTTAAATTAGGCGCCATCGATCATTCACACCTCTCCGTATTTCAAACTGTGTAATAGTTTAGATGAATATTTTACGGGAAATAAATTTTTTTTTTAATTTTTTTACCACCCTATGTTAGAATGATTATATTGCATTATGAAAAAATTCCATAGTTAAACCTTGGTGACAGGTTAAATTCTAATACAATAGATTTATCCATCATTACTTTCTATCATCTAGTAACTATTATGTATAAGATATTAGATAAAAAAGTGATTCATACACGCGTTTTAGGATAGGTTAACTTTCGATTAAAACGAATTCAGGGAAAAAATGACATTCTATAATACGAAGTTCGTTAAGATGCAAAAGTAACACGGATGAGTAATTATGAATCTAAATTCTTAGGTAAAATTCCCAAAAGATGGTTCTTTTATTTCTTATAAAGCATCTTATTCAAAATTAAAAATAATTACAAAATACTTAGATGTTTTTCTTAGATTTTTCACTTGAGTTATACTAAAAATATCGTCGGAGAAATTGTTCAAAGGAAATAATATTTTCCTTAGATATAGTTTGTTTGAGTTTAAACTCCATAAAAATATAGCACTTCAGTTCTAGTAGTTACATGAAATTTAATTTTGTTTTGATATGAGACGAGGAATACTACGTTGCTGCTTTAATACAACTATCTATTTGGTTTTCGAGAGTTGTAAATCGTTTGAGGATTAATAAACTAAGAATTCAATGAAGTTAGAATTTTCTAGTTTGCGTTACTCTGATAGTTAGTAACATTTGAAACGAATTGATGTAGATTTTTTACAAACGTTGGAGATTCTAAACGGGAAAATCATTCGACAACTCTATAATGTTTCTTTTCTAAATCTTATTATATAATAGAACAAGGAAAAAAACGCTTTTCTGGGAATAAATAAATAATAGAATAAGTTAATTAAAAATGAAACTAAATGACTATGTGTGAAAGAACATAGAAAAAATACTTAAAGCATTTTACATATTATTTATTATTCACTTTTATTATTTTGAATAATGTATATGATATTAATTTTGTTTACATTTTCCAAGCGATATTAAAACAATTTCTTATGAATAAATAATAATATCTATAAAGAAAAAAAATTATTCGATTTCGTTAGTTGTTATACATTTTTTTTTTTATAATAATAATAATAAATTAGCGATTTAAATAAAATTACCTAAATAAATTTAAATGACCTAATAAAAAAAGACAATTTTAGTTGTAGAAAGGAAATGAAGAACTCAGTAAAAGTTATACAAACCTATTAAAAATACAAATGTCATCATTCTAATGTGATATCGTTGGGTTTTATCACCGTGAAAGGTACGAATAGTTTTTTTTTGCAAAACGTTTTGTAGTTTGTGGTTGTTAAAAAGACTATTTATATTTGCACACATGTACATTGCATTATAATAATACAATATCCTAGTACGGCTAAAAGTATCATTTGTCTTGTTTGTTTTAATGAAAATGCATGGAGCGTTACATAGCTATTTTATTAATCTATGTACATATTACACGACTATATTATTATTATACCAGAACCTTTTGTGATTCTATTACTATAATGACATTTTTTTTGTGGGATTAATTTTTCGCTTTGTGCGTTTCGCGATCGTGATAAAGTTTTTAAGTACACCATGCAGTCTTGTGCATTTAATTTGAGAATCCTATTTCTATTCCCCTGTTAACGAAATTGGATCATCAGTTTTTTATAAAAATATATAATCGTTAAAATGAACACTGTCCCAACAATTTCGTATTCGAAAAATTTCTACACTAACAGTTTCACTTTTAAAAATAATATTCAAGTACGTATACTTATTGGAAATAATAGTTAGTCTTATTACCTCTGGGCTGACGTCCGCAGTGTTAGCACTGGAGACAAATTCTCGAAGAAATCCATCTAGTTCAGTTCCTTCGATGTATCCGTTACCTAAATTAATGAAACAAAAAATAATAATATTAAAATAATGGCATAATTTTGTGAAAATTATATTGTTTATAAATAGAAATAGATTAGCGATAAATTGTTTATATGCAAAACAGTTTATAGAGTGTTCAGTAAGTAAGAAAACATATTTCTATTGTTCTCATTGTTTGTAACAATTTTCCGATTTCCTAACGTTTTAAACGCCAACTTGCATTAATGGATTTTCATTCTTATGTAGTTCTATTAAGATTTATGAATAATATTGATGATCAGGTTATTTACAGATGGTTACGGTGCTCATATTTTAACCTAATACAGACTAAAGAATAGAGTAGATGAATAGCGACCTAAAGCGGTTTTGTACAATAGTATAACAATAACAACAATAGATGTTCTTTAAACTTAGCTAACATCAATAAAAATACTATATTTCTCTGGGGGGGTCTACTAGTTTAGAAGTTTAAAAGTTATCTTAACGAATTTGTCCAAATAAACTTTTATGAACTTTAGATTAACTTATTTATTTTTATAAATGTTCTTATTTGATGTAAAAAAATTAAATAATTCAAATTTCCAAAAATATTTGCAATAGTAAAATCAAATACTTTAATAAAATCGACTGCGTGGTTGTTTTCGCTTTAGTTAGTCTCGCATTGCCTTTTATTCATCGTCAAAATATATTTTTCTGAAACGATAGTCAAGGGAACAATATGAATATTTTACATATTTCAAAACTACTTGGGTATTGTTATGCTGTCGGTTTATTAACTATAATTTTGCCATATCGTGATGCATACTCAGATCAAAATACTCAGTAAAACAACATAAACCATGTGCATTGTAAAAAAAATATATAGTTTATTGCACCATTGCAGAAGAAAACAATCTTTTTAAATTATTATTAACAGTTATTTTATTTGCTCTAATATTTTATAATACGTAAATAAACCGAAATAAATTTGAATGAATAATTATTGTTAATAATACTATTATATAATTAATATATTTAATTTATAATTAAATTTATATATTGATTATTGTATAATAATTATTTCAGCATAATATCGTGCTGAAATCTGTTCTACAAAAAAAAATATGTATATCTAAGCTGTACACATTAAAAAAAAATAAACACATGTAAATTGAGGGTCCTTAATTAGATTTAAAATTAACAAAATAATCAGGTTACGGTTAACCTTCAGGGTTAGTTTCAAGATTTATCTACCGGTAGCGTCAAGTTACTGATGCGTACACTGAAATTCATGAAATTGGGTATAATTACCCAATCTCGTCCATTATTAGCTAGCCTAGGACCGTTTAGATTAAACAAAAACCATGTTTAATTATTATCAACGCATGTCGTATGGATAATAAATTATAACTTATAACATCCGGTGTTTCAAAACGAAATAAAAAAAAGATAATAGAGATCATTTTGCCATTATTTCGAGGGTTTTCACATTTAAATTAAGTATATTTTTGTGTTCACATTCAGAAAAAACTTAAAGTTCATCAAAATAAAATATGTAGTATATCATTAACAATACATACTAATGTTCATAAAAATAATTTATAAATAAATCATTTGAGACTGTTGACTGGCTTGTTTATTTTAACACATTTGAAAAAGAACTTGAGAATATCATGTTTATAAATTTTAACTAAACTGTACATTTTTCTTTTTACTTTTATTCAATTTTTTAGTATTATTGCTGTTTTAATCACAAAAACAAGCTGATATGATTTGAAAATCACGTTTTAAAAACTTTACTTTTAGAATCTATTCATTTGAAGTTGGTTCGTAAAATTGCGTTATAAATTGTGAAAAAGTAATATCGAAACTTCAAACTATTAAAATACTTTTTTATGCTTACCAGCGCTAAAAATTATTTTAACGGTTAAAACTTGAAAACATTGTTAGGTGCGAATGTTTGCGCAAAGTTTGCTTTAAAAAAAAATAAATTTGTTAATAATCTTTTAATAGTATTAAAAATATTACAAAATCGTCTCGTTGTCGTCTAGTACAATGAAATTATTATACATGTATTTCCTGTAATACAATCTGTCACTGTGTTAATAATATGTGTAATTGTTTTGTTATATAATAATTATGCACCCAATTAGTGACAATCGTTCACTCAAAATATTCATCTGCTCGAATATATTATTAAGTTTATAAAATAGTCTATCACAGTTTACACACTCTTGTTCTCGTGCATTGATTTATCTCCCACAAGATTTGCGAAACAATTTTTTTTAATTTTCCTTATGAAAACACATTTCTAATATTAACACTATGTGCAAAACGTACATGTTTTATAGTTACCTTTATAAATACATCAATAAAAAACAAATTTAACGATTATTCCTAAAAAAAACCTAATTTTTTTTGTTGAGAAAAGTGAATTACATATGATAAATTACTTCCATTGGTGTCATTAGTATCAGTATAAGTACGACTTATTTGCTCATTAAGTAAACGTGTATTTATGTTTTTTTAATATGACCTTGACATAAGTCTAACTTGTGACATTAAGTTTTAAATAATTAACTTACTTAAACTTTTATAACTTTTCAGTTTAATTTCAAATGAAACGTGTTTTGTCTTCTACAAAAGTATATTTTATTAATGAACAAACATCAATAAAGTGACTGTGACTCAAAGCGGTAAAAGCGGTCTCTTGTTTAAATGTCAAATTTGTTTCATCATTAGTATACCGAATATTAGGTTAAAGTTAGTTGAAAACTGGTAATGCGATCATTACTAAACAGGTTTGAAAGTTTTTGTTGACTAGTTGGCTTATTTAATGCGTCACTTAATTGAAATGAATGACAACGAAAGATCTTATAAAACTAAAAAACAAAACTGCATTAAAGCCAGCTACTTGTTCATTGGTTTTCCGATCTACATATAAATATTATCGTGAGATATTATTTGCTGAACACAAAAAATATATTTTTATTTATTTAAATATATTTAATAATGTTATCGCATGGTAAACTAAACAGTAAATTAGCATAATTTGAATATATTTTCAATAAATATGACACAATACGGCGCATTAGTTAGGCAATTTAGCTACGTTCCAGAGTTTATAGTTAAAACGGAGTGTACACGCCATGTTAAGATGAATTTTCTTCATAAAAACTGTTTTTTATGATTATTGAAAGTCTACAGGTCGAGGAGTGATAATTAATAGCGCATACTTTAATCAAAAGTATAAATAGAACCTTTGAAGCTAATTTTAACAGTTAATTGATTTTCTTTAACAAACATTCAAGTGTTCAAGATTTATTTTACTTACTTTAACACGTGAGCCGCGTTGTTGAAAAATACGAATTTAAAACGTAACTACCCTGCACATGAACTTATTAATAAGCATTATTCTGCTCGAGATAAAACAATCAACAAAATTTCGCTACAATTATAAACGTTTGTTCGTGTGCACATTAAATACAAATATATAAGCAGCTTTATTTAGCAGCGTTCCTAAAGATTCCTCAAAGCAAAACTCGATTATTGTCTTACTCGTTGCACGTAAATTGCTACAACATACTTTGTGGTATGTTTACTAAGACATAATATTTAGCTTCTGATGTTTGCGCGAGTTATACGGTTTATTACGCGATCGCGTCACATGAACTTCAAGTTGCTATTTAAGGACGGAAATGAGACATTTAGATAAAGCCGATTTATTCTCAGTCTATAGTTTTAAACGGTAATTAATATTCAAAGTGTAGCGTTTCATAATTCATTGCTGACATTTAGATTAAAATAGAATAAGAAACGTGAAAACTAAGTAAACTCGACTTAACCGTCAAGAATGTAAATACAGACCCATACAAACGACATGACTGCAATGTAAAATTTTTTTTAATATTTACAATGAGTTTACGAGGTGTTAAATTATTTTAAAACGCCATCGTCGGCGCTTACAAGGCGATTGCGGTGGTTAATAATTTTAAGAAAGTGAATCATAAAAATTTGAAATGAGCACCAAAAATTTAGAAGGTCAGGCAAATTTATTAGACGGCCGATAACAACTATTAATAGAGATACTGTCGATAGCATTGCAGTAACGGTTACTAATTATTTTTATACTTATTTCAATAACGGCAGACATCCTAATTATATCACATCGTTGAATTATGTCGCGATTGTACATTACGATCAATTGCTTTATTGTTAGCATATTTTTAAGAGGTACGATTTTTTTTAATTCCTATTTTTTACAAAAATTTAATTACCTCAAGTTCAATTATACTTCAATTTAATTACTTCAAACGACAAATACCAGCCATAGATCTTATAGTTATTTAACTTTTCTCTTTGCATTTTATGGTACAAAAACATCTGATATCGTTTTAATATAATATTTGAAAATACATTTTTTGATGTTTTTTATACAAATTACAATTAATACGAAAGTTTCATTAGTTTAAAAGTACAAAATATCACCAATTATAATCGATTGTTTACTACGGCAGCATATAAATTTTAGAAGGAACATAAATCAGTAAATCTAATTTATGATGTTAAGGTATACATTTACAAAAAAGTATAAAAATACTATCATTAGTTTTATTGGGTACCATTTTTCCAAAATTATTATTTTCATAACGAAAGTAAATAATAAACAAGAGCAAAGACTACAAATTATGAAAATATTAGATATTATTCATACTATAGATTAAATCGTCAAATTTAACTTCCCAGGGAAATTACATAAATCATACGATTGAATAAATACACAAACAGGAAATTAATATTAACTATTTATCTGATTGTTCCTCTGTATATTGTGATCGCCTATTTTTTTTTTTTATCGAGTTACTAGTTAAAAATTGCGATTATTTTAAAAGATAAAAGATAAAATAAAAGTTTATTCGTGAACAAATTTAATCATTTAAAATAAAATTGCTTGACATTGAGAGAAAAATTTATGTCATTAAATGGCGCCATTTTGAAATTAAATGCATTTACTAAAATATTTGATATTTCTTATAAATTTTCCAACTGTATATCATATCGCAACACTTAAATTTTCTTTTATTAAAAAATTGAATCGAATTATTATATATATATAGTTTTTTTAAACTTTTTAGCAACCAAATGACGTATCGGTAGTATCAAAGTATGTTTATGAAATCCGTTTCCACGAAAAATATTCTCAACTACAGGGATCAGTTACGATTATTTGTTGTTGTTACAGTACACACACAAATTTATCGTAAATAATTGCTGTGTATTTTAAGTATTAAGCCGTAGGGATCGATAGTGTAATTTAATTCTGTATGCAGGAAAAGGGTTACAAGCCGGAAGTATTAAATATCATAGTATAGATTATACCTGTACATGGGAGAAACGGCGTAAACTATTAAGGCTTGATGAGGATATACTTTGAAGCGGAAACGTATACAGGGTGTTCAGTAAGTAAGGGAACAAGTAAATTGTTACAAACAATGAGAACAATAGAAACCCATTTCCTTACTTACTGAACACTATATATTTGATTTCGTTTCAGGGAACTCCACAAAAAAAGAGTTTGGTTCTTTATAAAAATATCGATTGGACCTTAAATCATAGAAAACGCCTTCCTTCGCTTAATGTTATTTATTTATATTTTTTAAAACTTTTACATATATGAATAAATAATTACTATGAACATAGGCACGCGAATCCTTAAAAAAAATAATACATCCATCACACAAACGTACACGGGTGAAAACGAAATAATAATTTTATAACAATTTAAATTTTACAACCGCAATGACTAAGTCGTGAAAGAATTTTCAACTATTCACGTTCAATTTAAGCGATAAAAAATATTATCTGCAAAAAGCACATATTTATTTATAATTTCATCGCCATTGACTATTGTATTATTGATTTTTAATTTACATGTATAAAAAGCAATGACATCAGATAATAATGATAAGTATGATTTAGCCTAAAATAATATTGATTTATAACAAAAATTTATAATACCTAGACCGCAAAATAAACTAAATAATAGAACATTTATCGATTAATATTTGAGTTCATTCCATTATTTATGCTATACAATCATAATCCAATAGTATATATTCGATTGATCCAGTTACACAGCACCCAAATAAATAATTACCGTCGGAATTAGGTAAATAAATAGAAAAAGTAAAAAATATTATTTAAATTTAAACCTCTTGAGTTTTTTTAAAATTTAACTAGGTTTATATTTATTAATGCAATTGGGAATATAAAAGTAACTAGATGTAACTACGGGTTTTATAATTAAGTTAAACTTTTAAAAATAAACAATTTAATAAAATGTAAACCGTACAATTACTGGACCAGTTACTTTATTAAATATCAATTATAAGAATTCAAAAATCAAAACTATTATAAATATGGGAATAATTACCTGAATTTTATTTTACGTGAAATTACTACGAATTTGAAATTTGAAAAACTTGGTGATTTTATCATTATTATAATGAAACGAAAAATAAAATTTAAATAGAAACAATTACTACAAGGTTTTGAGTTAAATAATTATTGTACAAGTTGTAATCATCCTGTGGCTATTACGTTCAACTAAACACTAATTATACAAATTTACATTGAGTATCTTGCACTTTAATTGTTGTACAAAGAGATTACAAAAAAAAAAAAAACAATAAAAATACGTGCATTTCAAAATCTAAAAAGCACTAAAAATGTGAACTTACCATCTTTGTCGTAATGGCTCCAGACGTCCATAAATTGGTTTGCTGACAGTTTTTTGAGTTCTCTGCTTTGAGGATCCCTATACTGTTTCATGAAATTGGTCGCTTTTTCTAAGTTTAATTTTTTTGCAGCCGCAGCCGCTTCCGCTCCCGATTCCGATGAAAAACTCATATTCTGAAAAATAGAGATTCATAAGAAAACGAAAACAAAGTATATAAAACGACTGATGAATAAATCACCACAACAATAAACAATACATTTACTTCCCTGTGATTCGTGCGATATGTGAATAAAACTGAACAAATGATAACCTAGTTTTTTTTTTTTAGAGCCGGTTAAATTCTGTTTTGTATGTATCACGTGTAATGGTATTAGGTAAATATGTGCTGAACATTATTATGAATGCGTGACAATGTGTAGTTTGCGGTAGCCGTCACCGCTTTTGCAAAACACTTGGTATTTTTTATTTTATCGAGTCGCAAACAGAAAACAGGATGCTAGCCATTTATACGTTCCAAGTAAGCTAAAGAAATATGAATTAGGCGCTTTATTAATTTTCCCCGGGAATAACTTTTTAATCCTAAAATCATACTTAGAGATTTCTGTATTACATTGACCGCATAAAGCAAAAAAAAAATAAAGAAAACGTTTTCACCTCTTTATTATACCTTGGATGACGGTGCACGACCTAACGACTTTAGGAGATTAAGTCATATTAAAAGTAAAACAACAATAAAAATGAACTGTAGGAAACTAGGATTTTAGTGTTCAACTCTTTGATAGCCGCAGTAGGTCGAGCGTTGTTGCTAAGGGTTTATACAAAACCTTGAACTTTTCATTAATCTTTTTACTCTGTATAATATCTTTTTATAGTCGAATTCAGCGTACTGTGTAAAGTAACTTTGCACTCGTTAGCCAAAAACAAACAATATTGAAACTCGCTACTATACGCTCATGATAAAATGATTTATTTTTTATTTCAAATTACTTTTTACATGTTTAACCAACGGAATAATTTTAATAATTTATAAACCTGTACAGAATTTCATTGAATCAAAAACTAAACGAATTGACAAATATATCGAATGGCTAATAAATTTGATAGCTAACAATTACCTCGCGGCCATTGGCAATACATTACTGTTTATGATTTTACTGACTATATTTGCGTTCAAAATACACAAATTGCAAAAATCCTAAAACATAAAATTATATTATTTTGGAATACAAATGTTACCCGAATTATTACAAAGGTTGATCCGTTAAAGACGGGACTAAAAGGTTAGATGGTTACAATATTTTGGTATGTTAAGATAAAAGTTCGTATATAAAAAGCCGCTAAAAAAGGATCACTGCGCTCAAAGTTATAGCACTTTTATCGTTGAGTTGTACATTCCGCGGCATATTGATGATTCATAAAAGTGTACAATTTAAGCATATAGATACCTTGACGAATTTCCATTTTTTACCCGGCCAAAACGCACCGCGGTCTCATAGACATATAACCCTCGCTCGAATAAAACATCATGTTAATAATAATGATTATCATTATAACGATGATCCGTAAAAGATTAAAGTACTATTTTTAAATAGATTAATAGTTTTATTATCAAATTAATTATTCGATAACAAATTTTGGCCTGTAAACTGTAAACCATCAGCAGCTTTTGTCATTGATAGCGAAAACGTGTTTATTCTACACTGTGCTCGACAACAGGCCTCGTACATTTCCCACTAGTTCTCAATCGTCAAAATCATCGAGCCTTAAAACTATCTATTTTATTATATACGACACAAACGGTTGTTTTAAGAAACAAGTCAAATGTACACGGTTCGCGTAGCTTTTCATAGCACTACGCGACGTTAAATATTTCTTCGCAATAAATCCCGTCAAAAAGCGACACTACGACGACGGTAATAATGTAATGTGTCAGGATTATGTTTGTTTTCGACTCACAGTGATTGTGCCGTGTAATTTTTTTAGCGTGTCGATAGAACAGTGACAAGACATTACAAAAGTAAAATGAACGGAAGAATGATTTTCATACAAACAACTGAAGGGATTTTCTCAAAAGCTTCCAAGCGCTTTTTTTGTTATAATAATAATAATAATAATAATAATAATAGTTCAATCACTTGTTTTGACGAGATCCGAGTTGAAAACAAGTGTGTGAGAACGAGAGGCGTTCAATTCAGAATTAATGTAACCGCCATTAGTAAATGTACATAATTTGTTTTGGCCCATTGTTTACAGTTTCCTGTGAAACCGTAATAATTAATCACCTGCCTAGCCGTTTATTTATTTTGTTTTTTATATAAAAACATTTTTTTTCACAACACTCTGTTGCTCGTATTCGTTTTAAACCGAAGCAGATAAGCTCTATTTAAATTTTTATACCAATGAGTTTAAATAAAACATTGTGCTTTATTTGTTGTAAGCAAGACGCAGAAGCGGACAGGACAAGTAAAAAACTACAATTTTGTAGAAATTTATGTGAAATGACGCGTTCAGAAGATTAACAATTTGTTGCAGATATCGGAACTAGTAATAGTTTCAAGATACGCGTGGAATTACTTTGTGTGCTTTTGGGAGATACAAGATTTCCCTTATCGACTCGAAAAATAGACATAGTTATCTAGTGTGTGTTTCTAACAAACAACAACACGAAAAGTTGAAAATAACTTGCCAATACAATTTAAAAACACCATTGACTTTTATTGATGATTGACAGGCAACTCATTTTCGTTCTTATGAAAACTACTCGGATTGCTCGCACAATCAATTTTAGATAAGACGTGTGATCTTCCTTGACAGCCCATTTTTCTTTTGACACAACCATATAAATGTACATTAAATCAACAAGCGATTTCCCAAGCTTCCTCGAAAGGACAAGGGTAATTTTTCAGTTCTTCACCCGTACATACCGAAAAATATATAATTTTGTAAAAATTCAAATATTGTTTTCCCAAATAACTGATTATTCTGATAGCCTGAGACGACGTTTAAATATAAAAATATCTAAATTTGCCTGAACGTGAAAATAAAGTTTTCAACAGCTTTAAAAAAAAATCTTGAAAATATCAAAAGTTTTTATTATAGAAGTATTTAAATAAGTTGCAATTCATTTATGATAAAAATATGAAATACGCAGTGATGAAAAAATACAAATAAATTTATATTCCTTTGCTCATTTAGAACTTTTAACTGGAAATATGGGTTTACAAAGAAAATCTAACACGTAATTTATTTAAAAATAATAATTGGTAGACATTTTATATAAACGCTTAAACGTTAAATCTAGTCTCTAAAAAATATGTTTGGATTTTATTAAATTATTACGCCCTCGACATTTCTATGAAATCATAACTGCATAGTAAGGTGAAATGTCTGCATTTACTATAAAATATTTTATAATGACGTTCTTTCTTTCTTTAATGACGTTTATAAGAGAAAAAAATTGTTGAATTACGTGAAATGTTCGTTATAGAATTTAGAACTCAATGTATTAATTTTTCACGCAAACTTAAACCACAAAAGTATAACAAAATCAACTGTATGTACAAGAACAAAGTTTACTTTTAATTTTAAATGGAAATCTGAAAAATATAATTTGATAGTGTTTTTTTAAACAAACAAGTAATTGGATTAGCCCAATGCATAGTATATTATTATAAAAAAAGTTAACGTTTAAAAAGTATTGTTTCATTTAAACTTTTTTTTTTTTAGTGTGTTAAATAATAATTAACAAATTGATTTATCGCTAATAAACATTATTAGCCATGAAAAAAAAAATCATAGTTTTCTATTAAAACTGACCCTGACAATTCCATCAAATACGTTCCAGCTATGTACTGAACTAATTACAGTCGGTATTAATAGCTTTAAAAATACAATGTTCGTGTCAAATTGCGTTTTACTCTCCGTAAATCTAAATTTTTATTAAACATGGAATGAATTATGACATAGTCTATTAAAACTTGGACGACAAGAGTACCGAGAAAAAACTTTGTAAACACATTTTTTAATAGAAAAATAATTCCTATATTTTATGATATATATGCCACAGCAGTAATTGTTTACAAAAGTTTAACATCTAAAGTACATTTAAGATTTATTTAAGTATACTTTAAATTTTAAACAATATATTGTTTAATCTCACATTTACATTTTACATTTTTTTTTACTATTTTACTACTAATGGTAATACATCAACCCGACACTTTTCCGTGGCAAAAATAATTAAAGTAAGTAATTCGTAGCCTCGAAGAGTCAAAATATTGCAAATAATCAAAAGTCACGCAAATTTAGTACTCAGCTTATAATAATGAAATAGTTTAGATTAATATTGGTCAATATTGATCAATTGCTGATTCCATTTATTTTTAAGTATTCAATAATCCGAAATGCAAATAAAATAATATCAATAATCAATAATTTTAATGTTTTTGATTATTTAAATACTCAGATATTATTTTATTTGCATTTTGGGTTATTATAAACCATTCAGTTAAAAATTATCTTAATTGAAAAAGTATATTTTATTGTTTAGAATTCATTTAAACAATATAATATAACATATAATTGATTATTTTAATTATCATTCAAAATAAACACAATATTTAATAATTATTAAAATTTAAAAATACTTATCCCCTTTACACTTTACTCAAAATTATTTTGTAATAATGTTAAAGAATTATAAAAAAATATTACTGCCTTTTTCATGCACCACTTAAATCAATTCTTAAATCTTATAAACACTATAAAACAATATTGCTCTTTAAGGATCTTATTTAGTTATGATAAATTCAATTACATTGTTTAATCTTGATTCCAAGTGTTAAGTCGATCAAACATAAATATAAATATTTAAGTTACTTTAATAATTGAACAATAAGTTTTCAGTAGTTCTGTGAAAACAAAAATCAATAGGCGTTATTTGAACGACACTAATAATTTTCCACGTTAAACTCATTTAGAAAATAGTTCAATAAATTATACATAAATACATTCATTCACAGTTTCAATGTTAAAATATAATTAAGAAATTAAATATTTTGATTTTAAATAATGAATATAAGAATCCTTCGAGCTATTTTTGTATGCCTATAATAAACAGTTAAATTCATTTTGGTGCCATTTTTAAATTCTAGTTATATTTTTAAATCTTGCA